GGGGGTTGTTGTTCCCAAAATCCATGAACAACAACCCCCCGCACCCCTCTATCGAAGCGGTCTGAAAAGACACCGGACTGTTGAGCTCCCGGCACCCTCCAGAGTCGAGATCCGAGCCTTACAAGCGGCGTGCAAGTTGGATCCACCGTCTGCTCTTGCTAAGCCATGGCAGTTAGCGATAGATATGTGTGAATCGCAGAATGGCGGGCTCTTGCACGCAAGAATGACACCAAACAGCTTTGGAAGCGATGTACCTGGGCCCCTGCCGCCTTTGCATCCGGGGGCTTCGTCAGCGCCTTTCCAAAAAGAATAGAAATCACCGAGCCAAGACGGTCAAAGAGCCGCTTGCTGGGCCATCCAGCGGCATCACACTTCAGGCAGAAGTCTGTCTAAAATCTGCCCAGCGTGCCTTCTATTTGGTTGCAACGAAACTCACGCGCCGGCACCTCCCAGAAAGCTCCCAAGCGGGAGATCCCGGCCGAGAAGCGGGAGATGTCCTGTCCCGACGGTTTGCAGTAGGGGGGGGGGGCCTAATTGTGATCGTTCGGCCAGTCCTGGATCCGCGACACGATGATTGTGACGGAGCTGAGGACCTGAAGTTTCTGGGGTTTCTAACCTCCACCGATTGATTGTAGATGCACCTAGTTCGAGCTCATCTGAAACTTACAAGGACTATTTTTCTGTATCTGCACACTGCCTCATAGCATTCTGACGCCTGGGTCTCCGATTCTGCGTATTTGGAATTCACACTCCGCTAAAACACCTTCCCATGGCTTGCAAACCGAGCACGCGACCATGCTGAAAGCGAACTGTGCTTGGCCCAATGTGCCGAAGTCCACCTCCAAGGCAACGGAGGCTGGGTCGGAAACCCTGGGCCCCCTACTACAGGTTTTCGGGGCTTGCCTGGCTGTGCACTCGGCTAAACAGAGAGTAGAAATCAAGGTGGGATTTTGCTGCGGCCTCTGTTGCACAAGCTTGGGATGCATCCTGTCCCGAACCTGTCTGCCAACCTCTGAAACTCATAGCTATATATGATATATGCATGAAGCTTTAAGTAGGCCAACTCATCGAGGTCCTAAAATGCATGGTCGCCCTCGAAACCCACAGGCTGCATAGGAGCGTACAAGCTCTGTGCTCCACATGACTCATCTTGGCACAGCTCATTGTGGCCTTCGCAATTTTGCGGGATTGGCTCTCGCCTGTTCCTGCACTTAGACTTAATGCCCACCAAGACTTGCAGAGGGTGTCTCAAGGGCGGCGCTGGTGTGAGCTTACGAGGAGCATCGGGGAGTCTGAAACACTGGCCCTCGAAATCCTAACTTGGTTGCTCTGTCATGGGAAACCCTGGCGACTGCCTGACCGGAGAAGTACAGACCGCCGAGCACGAAGTAGGGCACCAGGCGCGCCAGGTAGAAGAACGCCTCGGCTCAGCGACATGGAAAACCCCAAGCTGGAGCTTTGATCCTCCATGTGACTCGAGCAAGGCCTGCTGGTAGGCGGAAAGCCCCGTCTCCCAGATGATCCTTGGATTGTCGGCTGCGGAATTGTGGGAGCGGTGGAGAAGGGCCGGACAGTTTCCATCAAGCTGAGAGAACGGATGCCCCTTGCTTATCAAGTCGGTCTCTCTGCAGATTCGCGATGCCAAAAGTTGGGATACTGTAGATCATGGGACTGGGGCGATGCATCGAGCCTGCCCATTGCTGACATAAAAGCCTGCAGCCCCCGGGCCAAAAACACCCGGGCCCCAAACCATACCATCTCCGCACTCTGCGATCGCCCCCAAGATGTCAAGACTTCGTATTCTATACATCTTGTTTTGCAACGCACAAACGGCAACAACGAAAAACCATCGCACAAGCCGATCAGAATGCACGTAAAACGGAACCGTGAGACCGGTGTTTACGGCAGTTCTATGTTTGTAATTTTGTAATAAAGTAGTGCCAAAGTCAGCAAGGCAACATGCCGAAACAACTCTCGAGACGGGAGCTGAAGCAGCCTCCCATAAGGAACCCTTGTGGACCAGGCCGAAGGTCAGCTGGTCGTAGTTCGACAGGGTTGCTCCCAGCTTCGCCTTGACCTGTCGGACTCTTCAGTGAGCTTACAGTTGGGTGCCTCTGCTTTTAAATGGGTCAAGGCTTTCTCCAATGTTGTGTTTGGATCAGGGCTTAGGAGCGTGGAAAATCTCTTGGCGTCGTTCGCTCTACGATGTGAACTAGGGTACGTGTGGCTAGGGCTAGGTTCGCGACAGCTGCACCGTGCTTTTGGCGTTTACATCGGGCTTCTCTTTGCTTCTCTGATACCCGCTGAAAACAGAAATCTCGATGGGTGCGAAATGCCCTCGACCGGCTCTGAACCTGACGAGAAAACGCCACTGCAACCAGCCTCACCCTCTTCACGCTTCTCGCCACCATAGAAAGCAATCGCTTCTGCATTGTCCCGCACGTGCACCAAGCCTGACTGAAAATCCTACACTGCCCCTCTCCACTCTCGAGCTCTTCTCCCACTCCTCTCCAACTATCGGACTGCAACAACCTGCAGAGTCTTATGCAAGAAGCTTGGGCGAGGAGTTAGGGCGCCTCCCTTAACAGGCCAAGCAACTGTAGCGGAAGTCCGCTTGCAAGCGAAGCTGCTCGTAGTTGAGGCCGACAAGGCGACCTGCTCTGAAGGCCCTTTACAAGCTTCCTAACCGAACATCGATGTAAAGGCCTCCACGGTTTGACGCATGGCCGGCTTAAGTGGCAGGCATCAAAACTCAACAGCTGGATGACTCAAGCAGCAAGAGGAAGGTGGATCTCTCGAGTTGTGATCCCAGAAGGTTCGAGTTGTGATCGCAGCCCAACAGGACACGCACCAGAAAGCCGATGGCCTCCCAGGTACACGGCCAACGAGGTGCCGACCAAAGCCTTCAAAGTTTCACAAGGGTCAGTTCTCTCAGCCGTGTACGTTCTGGACGGGTAGTGCTATGATCACAGAATAGTAGAACGACCTCCGCAAAGAATTCTGCCTTCGGGCGTTACCTTTGACGATGAAGGACATGTCTAAGTACTGTAAGATTCGAGGAAAATCCCACTTTCTTAGGCGTGTCTCCAGAAGGCCGGGTGACATACACAGCCAGAGCTCCAGTCAGGGTCTGCGAGGTGGTCCACAGGATTGCAGAAAAGGACACCTGCTGACACCCGCAGCAGGTAAGTCTAAGTGAAAGGAGGTCCCTGAGCTGGGGATCCGAAGATCTTTTCTTTCGCCAAGCTGCGAGGTTCAGCACGCTGTCAAGGATGTCCAGCCTAAGCAAGAGCCCAAGACTCTCTCCGAGGCAAGGATGGCATCTGCAGGCTCAGGGGCAAGAAGTCCAGCGTGACCTTGGTGAAGTAATCGACATCCTCCGAAATCCTCTGGTCCGGGTTGTCCACGTCGGTGCTTTGCGAGTTCCTGAGCCGCGGAGCTTCGTGCACTTGTCCCAACAAAAGTGATGCATCTTGAAACGCTACCATACGGTGCAAGACGAGCAGAAGACGAGTCATGCGAGTCTCGAGTCGAGGAGGTAGAAGGAGCGGTTTTCCAAGTACTTCTCGAGGAAAAGCTCCGTCAAAGCCTGGCGCCAGCTCCGGCCTCGGACTCGCAAAAACGGCCCGCTGAAAAGGGCCCTCCCTTTCTGGGCCCCGGGCCTAGTGTGAGCCGGACGTAGCGGTAGCCGCCTCGGCTTCGGCGCCACTGAAGCCCATGCCGAGCCCACACTCGGCATCACATGAGCAAACTTCTGGGGGACCCTCGGAAGTCTTCAAGGAACTCTCTGACGCCAGAAACGCTCAACAACTCCGAGGTGCTAATCACTGGCACCGCAACGGCCAGAGCAGCACCAAACACGCCCAGTTGTGCGTAGAACTCCGTCGCGTTCTTCTCAACCTGATAGTATTCGAAAGCCGAGAACTGCCGGCTTCGTGCTTGTGACATGCATGACATGCACTGTTCGTTGCATCCATGCCGGGATCACCCTGAAACATCTTCTGTCAAAAAACATGACAGCACAGCGACAGATTTCGTAGCTCGCCAGACCCGGAAGAATGGAATTTGTTGATGCTTACCAAGCCACAAGAACGTTGTCGATCGCCCGGAAGACCTCAGACCAAGCGAGCCCGGCGTTCCCGAAGCCGAATCCCTCTCAGCGACGTTTGGAGCTGCTCGTTCTTCTGGTCCTCCACGCTTCAGCTCCGACTTCCAAACCGATCTGAGGCCCTTGCATAGCTCAGCAGTACGTTGAGGCCCGTGACGCAGAAGAGCAAGAAAAGCAGCAACGCGAGAAGCCACCACCTGAGCGCTGCTCCATCAGGATCGAGAATCGCACTAGGCTAATTGTCATTTCGACGGCTCCACTTCAAAGGGTCGGCCTGCACAAGGGACGACATCCCAAGGCGATTCTGTGCGTGTATTTAGGCGCTCCCAGCAGACCAAAGAACGAAAAACGGGCACCCAAATTAAAACACTGAGTTCGAATGGCAGAAACTTGCCCCAAATTTCCTGAACGCACCCAGTGGCTGTCGCCAGCGGCCCTGTAGACGCTGACGCGCGGCAGCGAAAGTTGCAGAGGCACCTGCTCACGCTTGGGGGCGAACCGATTGGAGATGCCACTGCTGTGGTGCTTTCCCCCTTGTCAGAGGCGGCAACTCTGTCACTCCGCAAGGCACCTAGGACGCCAAGAAGCGCCAGGAGCTCCAGCCCGGGAGCCTTTCAGGGTGCCCAGGAGCTCTGGGTCTGGGAGGCTTCAGATTTTTCGGGCTCTGAGAGCCCTTGCACATTCCCTTCAGGCAGCTTTTAAAGAGACAGCCCTCCTGCATGGAGGCCAGGGTGCCGCCCAAGCCTGGCGCAACGAAACTATCGGGCAGCATGCAAGGGGCGCTTCCTACACTCGGGCCCTAGAAGACTGGCAACAATCTTGACAATGGAAGCATTAACGGATCCCATGTCAACTCGGCCGAGCTTTGGCGAAGCACTGTGCCCTTGCGATGGCATCGCAGAGCCCCGATGAGACGAGACCGAGACCGACGAAGTCGCCCAAGCTCTGCCAGGCCCGGCCTTCTGGGAGTGATCCCAGGAGCCCCTGAGCGGCCAAGCCTGCACCCAAAGCCAGCCAGAACGTTCCTCCCACGACGCCTGGGGCTACAGGGAAGGGCGAAGCCTGGTTGAAATGAACAGGCTTGGCTGGGACTGACGGATCCTTTGCTCTAGACCGTTTCTGGAAAATTCCACCTCCCACACACACATCCACATGGCCGTAAACCCGAACTCAACAAAGAGTCCAGCCGCCGACGAGCGTGGCCAGGATCAACGCAACGAATCCAGGCTGGGCATCGGAGGCTTCCTGCTCGTCGTCCTTTCCAAGCGGAAATCACGATGACAGACCCTTGCTTGCATTTGAATGACAAGTATGCGTCGCGACGAAAAATCACACACTGGAAGCCTTCGCATCCTGGCATCCCGCGCCGAAAAAGGAGGAAACCCCGTCGACGTGACGTGTATCCCCGAATCCCCGAACTCGTCCGACAGACTACAAAGACGAGCGTCGGGAAAGGGCAAGAAGTAGGGCTGCGCAATCCGCAGAAACTGATTCCAAAGGCGCGTGTTGAATTCGAAACCGTCCTGGAACACGGCTTTTGGATGCATGTACAGACATACCTACGCGCATAGACGGATGGGTCGATACGTAGATAGTTAAAAAGGACGGATAGACTGATATAGGTATAGGTATAGATACTTTACCTGTTTGCTCTTTTGCTTTGTCGCTTCAGCTGCTCGGAAATTATGACCTCCGGGAATTGCTCATAAACACACAGACAATGCACACCAACATAGATCAGCAAGCAAACAAGCCTGCCATGCCACTCCGAAAACCTTGCAGGTGCTCTGTCCGGGGTTTGGCAGCTCTGAACGCAGGATCCCAGCCGTGCAAAAGGTCAGCAGATTTGTTGTTGGTTTTGGATACGTTCGGCCGATTGGGCGAGGCAAAACATCGTTTGCATTTCCTTTCACTTCCCGTCCAGCTCTTGCTCAATCGATCCCGCTGACCCGGTCCCCTGCACGACGGCGGCACCGCAGCCGCGGCACGGAGGAAGCAAAAAGAAGCGCCAGAAGCGCCTGAGAGCGTGGTCTTGTTTTCAAGCTGGAGACTAGGAGTTGCCCGACGTTGCGATCCACATGGTTCCAGCCTAAGTTGTGCGTCTCCTACTCCTAAGCTACATGACGGGTCTCACAACTTTCCGACTTGAAGTGTTGAATGGAGCTGACGTGGTGTCTCGCGGGGTAGGGGTGGCGATAGCATCGGTCCCTGCTGGTCACTCTTCTCTGCTTGTCGTGGGCTATCGTCGCTTTCGCAAAGGCAAAGGAATATGGTGTCAGCCTCTATGCCTCTAGGCACAGCGGTGAAGCAGTTGGGTGCAAGCCTGCACCTTCATCTTAGGTGGTGGGGCATCTGCTTCTGTCCATGCTTCTATCCTGGGTTGCAGTTGTTGGTGGTTCAGTGTCTGATTTCGGACTGTCTGCTGTTGCCCAAGTTGGACGAGCAGTTTAACAGTCAAGGAAGTTCAGTTCCAGGCGATTGAAACGAATACGAAACACACACAGTAGGTCGGGCTGTGACGGTTTGGGATCCGGGATCTGCCAAGTGGCCGGAAAACCCAAGCCGTCATCAATCTAGGGACCCCCCAAGTGCGACCAGGGCCGCTGGAACTTGCCGACGCCAACCCCAGCCTCGGATCGCGGTCTGAGACCCTGGGATGAACTGAGTCTGAGCTTAGATTTCCGGAAACAAGGGCATCCCTCGGAGTGCCGTGCGGAAGGGGTGTGGGCAATGCCTCGGTCGTTTCAGTCTTCGGAGCTCCAAGGCTGTCTCCATGGCCTTTCCTCCAAGAACTGCGGATTCGGACGGTGGAACATGGCCAGGCACATCGACACGAGAATCTTCGAAACGACAAACCGCCTGAGCGCGCCATAGCACAAGTCTCTAGCCTGGTCAAGCAGCTCGGTTGTGACACAGGCCGTGCACCCCAGCACGATGAGAAGGCTATCACCTCGAGACACACACCACAGCTTTCGGTCACACTGCAGATAATCAGAGGACCTCTTTGACATGACCGGGCCTTCTTCTGCTCACAGTCTTCGAGCGGCCGCACGGCCGGACGACCAGGGCAATTCATGGCCAGCGACGTCACTGCTTTGAGGATAGCATGGGTCAGGCGTGCAGAGTGGTCATTGGTCAAAGGCCGATCGGGGGCTCAATGATTTCAGCGCTGGGGGGAACGTCAGATGTGGCAATGTTCTCGGCACGGGTTCGGGCATCGCAGGGTCCGGCCGTGATGGCCGCCTTACATAAAGCCTGAGAGACGCATACAGACAAATGGTTTCCCACACTGCTTCTCAGCCTCTTGCACCAAGGAGCTTTTGCTAAATTTGGAGCTTCCCCCGCGCACCATGGTCTGTACACAAGAGACGCTTGAGTCAATTCCCGCAGCATTGGCAAGAGATGTCAGAGTCTCGGTCTGGCTTGGTTGGGGGCTGATATAGCCTTTAAAGAGAGTCCATTGCACCAAGCGCCACCATCCCAGCCTGCAGGGACTGGGGAGCTTCGGGGTCCATTGCAACGCGTTTTGGCGCTTGCAATGCTTGCAGGGGCCGAGCTGGACCCATGTGTGTACCTTCGGGGATGCACCGCTCGAGATTATTTGCTCTGCATGCTTGAGCCGTCGCCATTTCAGGTGGCTCCGTGGAATTCAAAGCACCGGAATCCGGAATCCTGGAGCTTGGGCTTCTTTTTGCTTTTCGCATAGACTAGGTATGGCTCCTGCATGGAGCTGCACCGGAAAGCCGCATGGGCAAGCGCGGCACATGCGCAGCCTTTTGGAAAGCCGGCAGTGCCCGCAGATGAAACGGAAGGGCCTTGGAGCCGAAGAGCTCAGAGTCCCAGAACCCGAGTCTAAGAGCCACGCCAGCAATGCCAGCTGTGCTATCTGCGGCTTCGAAGTCAAAACAGCAAAACAAGCTGCGTCGAACACACCTAAGTGCCGCATCGCACGATCTGGGCCCTTCCCCCCGAACGGCCCGAAGAATGCCGGCGCGAGGCACCCCGCCCGCGCAGAGATAAGACGAGCCACCACCCGAAAAAGAGCCCCACACGAACATCATGGAGTGACTAAGTGTTTCGAGCCCATAGCAGCCATAGCACGATGCAGGACATTAGGCTTCAGTCTGCACGGAGACTGTCCTGCCTCTTGCTACCCAGCAAAATTTCCGTCGCTTGTAAGTCTAAGCCCGTTTCCGCGGATGGATAGCGGGATGCCTCGGATTCGGCTACCCGAACCTCGACCTCCTAGATTTCGTGCGCCAACATTTGCTGCCGCATACGAAGAACAGGGCTTCCTCATGGGGTTGCTGCCAAGACCAGATCGACGATAGTGCGTGGATTCAACAGGGGCCTGAAGTACTGCGTGCGGGAGGTCACCCAACGAGGAAAGGCCCTAAGCTTGCCCTAAACCAGCGTGACACCGCATCCACAAACCGCCGCGGCACACACGCCGAGAGACACTTGCTCGACACCTCTAACACGAGGTATCCCAAAAATTGCGTTCTCGATTCTCAGCCCCACATCTCCTGAGCAGCCAGGAACGTCTCCACGTGTCGCACTCGGGTTTGGCTGAGCACTTCCGCCACCATGCTGGTGGCCGGGTGACTAACACTGCCTGTCCCTGTCGCATGTCAGTTCTGGGATTTATAATTGGCGAAAGCCCAGGAGCCGCGACGATGCGGCCCTCGCTTTTCAGCGCCTCGACGGCTTCGGGGCCGCCTTCCAGGACCTGGCAGAGCCCCCTCAGTGCAAAGAATCCTTCAGGGCTTGGGAGGCTCGCTGAGAGCTTGCATCAGAGCTGAGTCCGCCCATCAGCCCTTTGCCTCTCCCAGCGCCTGCAAGACGCCGTTACCCATGGCCTGGGCCACACAGGAGCTGCTTCCCGCAAGAGGGATGCAGAGTATCCGACATAAGGGTCTGGGCCGGGATGGTATCCCCACCCGGACCAGTCGCAGGCTCTAGGAAACCCTCCCCGAAGTTTATGGCAGTTGTGAACCTTGTGCGATCGTACATTCCTACTGCTTCGGAAAACACTCTGCAAGAGCTTGCCAAGCTAAGCCGGATCCTGTCAAAACGATGATCTCCGGGGCTGCAGTTCTAGGAATGATTTGCAGAGCAACTTTAGGTCCTTCAAGGTCGCGTTCCTTCTTCTACTCGTTCTCTGCTGTGTACAGTAAACCGCACACGGCCAGGAGATCTCCCCAGACTCGAATGTCTCGGAGGGGCCGTGGAGCCGCAGATGAAGACGTAGCCGCCCATGTTCTGAACCCAGGCCTTGACCTCATGGCCGAGACTTTAAACAAGACAGAACCTTTTCCAGACCCGAACGTTGAACGTTTAAGTCCCCACTCGAGGCATTCAGGCGAAAAAAATCGATATAGAGGTCTCAGGGATCCCAATTGCAAAACCGAGGGCTGAGCCGACTCGCCCTGCTTCTTGATGGCATCCTGTCCGGTGCATCCTACCTACCCCCGGTTCGTTTGAAGAATTCGACAGCCCAGCCATGCGTCATGAGTCATGAGTCACCCTTGCGGAATGCAAGACGGTATTCTGCCATCGACAATGATGTGGCTGCTACCCTGTGAAGTGAAGGATGCAGAACCTTTCCCGAAGAGGCCAGCAACGAACGTTTTGGCCTGCACAACACAAGCGGACAAAGTTGCCGAAAACATCTTACAGCCGGCTGTCCGCGAGCTTGGCCACAGCCGAATTAGCGAGGTGCACAGATTGAGATGTGAGCCAAAGCCCATTCTCGCCATCTGCAGCACGGCAGAGGCTGTCGAAGCTCAAGACATCGGGCAGCGCAGCGGCTCGGCACATGCAACGGAAGAGCGAGATGACCTTCCGCCAACGGGCGGTTCTGCACACGACCAGGGCGCTGTTCATGCACACGGAGTTCCCGGCCACCTGCTGCTGCTCCATAGCTGCGGCCAGGTCCAAGGCTAAGACCCACCCGCTGTCGCTGTGCGGGCAGGCGCCGAAGGCGCTGCTGAAGGTGATGGCATCCGGCTCCAGGTCCAAACTCCTCGCGGCCATCAGAAGTTGCAGCGCCAAGGCCCAGTCCCCCGGCTGCCCGCAGCCGCAGGCTTCGATCGCGGCGTTAAAGCTTATGATCCCGGGGAAAACCTCGAGCTCGGGCATACGCCAGAGCAGTGCCAGTGCGGCTCTCCACTCAGCCTGAGCACAAGCGCTGAGAAGGCTGCCGCAGCTGACCTCGTTGGGCCGGACCCTTCTCTCCAGCATGGCATCAAGCAGGTCAAGCCCCTCCGCCCACCGAGAGGCTTTCTCACAGGCGGCAAGTGCGGCACTGAAGGTTACGACATTTGGTGGAGTCCTCTTCTCTGACATGGATGAAAGAAGGCTCAATGCCACCATCCAATACCCAGACTCCGCCAGACGGCTGTTGGCGCATGCGCTGACGACCACATTGCAGCCCACAATATTCGCTGGCAGCCCTGTGGCTGACATGTCGGACAGTACAGAGAGCGCGAGGTGCCAGCCACCTCCTTCGCCGCAGGCGCTGGCTGCGCTGGCAAGGGAGACCTCGTTCGCCCGCACCTTTCCTTCGGCCATGGCCATCAAGAAACCGAGAGCCCGCAACCACTGGCTGGCCGTCTCACATGCAGAGATGCAAGAGCTGAAAGATACGACATCCGCCGCGAGGCTCCAGCGTGGCATGGAGCTGAGGAGTGCCAGGGCAGTGGTCCACTGCCCGTCCCGCGCGCAAGAGCTCAGAGCGCTGTTGAAGCTGATGACGTCGGCTTCAACCCGCGCCTCGACCATGGCGAGCAAGAGCCGGAGAGCCAGAAGCCAGCCTTCCGGCACGTCGCAGCCTGCCAGGAGGCTGTTGTAGGAGACCACATCCGCTAGGACGAAGGACCGGCGCATGGAGCTCAGAAGGCCCTGGGCCACCTCCAGCTGTCCCCTGCAAGCACTGATGGCGGCATTGTAGGCGACAGTGTTAGCTTCGATGCCCTTTGCACGAGCTGCCGCCAAGATCGTCAAAGCCCAACACCAAGGCTCACCTCGGCATGCGCTGATGCTGCTGCTGCAGGTGACGACGTTCGGAGAGAGCGTCATCGTCAAATGCCCCAGAAGGAGAAGTCCGAGAGACCATCGACCCGTTTTCTCACACGCATTCACTGCACTGCTACAGCTGATGACATTGGGAGTCGCCATAGCAATGGCCATGCCTCTCAGCAGTTCGATTGCCCAGGACCATGCTGAAGCCTTTGCACAGCTGCTGATGGCACTGTTGTGGCTGATGACATCCGGAAGCCATTGTGCCCTGAACATGACATGCAGCAGCTGATGGGTGGTCCGCCACTGGCCATCCCTTTCGCCTGCGCTGATGGCAGCGTTGCACACCACCAAGTCTGCAGCGAGCCTCGTAACTGGTATGTGCGCGAAAAGCTGCAGCGCCGCTTGCCACTGCACACGCCTGCCACAGCTGGCCATGGCATTGGTGCAGCTGATCAAACCTCCATCTTTGCGGCAGCTTCCAGAGTGCAACCGCGCTGGTGGATCCATCCTCCATGTCGTCGAAATTGCTCCGCAGCCAAACTACCGGCGAAGCCATTCGGCTCACATGCGCTGGTGCCATCCCGAGCAGCTGGCGACTGCGGTGCACTGCGGTCGGTCCGCACCCCAGACCCCATCTATATCCCCTATGAACGCAACCGAAGTACAAGGCCGGCTGGGTATGAGATGCCTGAACGTAGCTCTTCTCCTTGCCCTCCCCTGGCCGCCTTGGCACCAAGACAACGCTGTAGATGGTATTTCGGGGCTTGCCTGCCTGTGGGGTTTGCACCTACCCTTTCCGAACGCAGCTTGGAATTGAAGCTTACTCTGACGCTCGACTGGCCGAGCGACGAGAAAGCCGTGAAGAGGCTAGCCAACGGCCTCTTTGGACCAACCTGCACCCATGGGAACATGACTTTGCAAAAGAGGTCTTGCTCTAACATCTGTGACAGAAACCCCCTCCTGTCAATGCGGTTCTCTAAAGCAGAAAAGTCCAGATTCCCTCTCGTGCTTCAAGGGACCCTGCAGCCTGCATCCGGGCCAAGGCTGCACAGCCCCCGCCCAGCTTCACCGCCGCGCTCATCTCATCCTTGTAGAGCCAGTCCTGGGACTTCGAGCTCTGAGTCTCCACATTCCCTTCACACTGCAAGGGGAACCTGGGATCCCTTTACCAGTTGCCGCTCCGAGACCGAACATCCCCTCGACGTCCCCGAAAAGTAGGCAGGGTCCTGCGCGGGATTCCGGCATCCGAAGAAGAGCACCGCCTTGGGCTCACTTTCTCTGATTGTCACATACAAGAGGGGCTCTCCCAGTGGTCTGTCTAACAGTCTGTCCTATACAGACAGCACAGACTCGGCATGAAGACAGTCGTCCTCGACACGAGTCATTAGCCGGCAGGCTGCAGAGCAGTCGAATGCCTGGACCCATAAACTGCTGCCGGAGACGCGGGGGCAACCTGCGGACCTTTCCTGAGCTCGTCCCAGAAACCGCGGAAGGGTGCCACGCCGGCACCTGCTCCCACCATAACCTGAAAAGACTCGATATTCAGCTTCAGGGTCATGATGACCACCGGGGGCCAACGCTGCAAAGGGCTGTATGGCAGGGATCCAGGCTCAGCGGTGAAGTGCACAACTTGTGGCGAGACTCGATCGGCACATCTTTGCTTGGCAAGGCGAGCGAGGATGAATGGTACTTCGCGAGGACACAATCACCTGCATGTGGATGGCAGCGTCTGACGCCAAGGCTAACTATCGGCGCATGCGAATCTCAAAGACCCTTCTTCCCAAAATGCCATGTTTGGCGAAGGTGACCCATAGTGCCAAACTCTGCTGCATCGGACGTGCACTTGTGATGAAGTTCATAGCTACTCGAGAACCAAGCTGCTATCGACAACAAAAGAGAAAACGCAGGAGAGAATATCAACCGCAAACGCCTTTAACAAGCCAGAATGATAAATTAGTTTCCACATCTCGACAGGTCCTACATTACATGGCCCAATGATGCCTACGAAAAAAACCCTAGAACCGGGGCTATCCACCTTCTTTCAGGTCCGCCGAGATGTACCGGGAGCACATGCCCAGGAACCTCGGCCGGGCCTGCATGAATTGGGACAGCTGGACAGTCGGTTTTGAAAGCTCTTGCGGCATTCGGGCTTGGGGCAGGTTTCGGGGGTTTGGGGAAGAATTGAAGGCACCGTAATAGATGCGGCTGTAAGCAAAGCATCTGTAGCTTACGGGATCTGCAATTTGCAGCCCTACCTACCCATGCAAGCACCGCAGAGCTCTTTGCAGTTTCAATGGTGCCTGCAACCCAGCAATCTTGGGGTCTCTCTGCATGGAGCGCCTCCCCACCGCCCTAAACTTGAAATCCCTCAACTGCCATAACATTCGTCTCTGCCAATCGGACAGGGAGGGGGGAGGGGGGAGGGTTGGGGCGGAAGGACCCCCAACATGGCTACACGCGTGACATGGTCTGCCTCACGCGCTGCTGCAGTTGCAGTGGGCGGCAGGGCTCCTGCAGAAATGAGCTTCCTCGGAGCATCGTGGCAAGCACCATGAACTTCCGGCAGCCGCACAGACCCACGGATTATGAAGCGATTCATGAGGCTGCGACGAAATTACACAACATGGTTGCACAGATTTCAAATCAAAATCCGACAGAGTGTGGCTTGGTCTTGAATCTTGTGGGAGCCAACAAAATCATTCAACACTCAAAGCCGTAGATGAACAACGATTGTAACAACCTATCCTCAACTGCCAGGCATCATTTTTTCTGAAAATTGATTTTCCGACGAGGCTCTCCGCCATGGACTCCAAACTCTCCGTCTCGCGGGTTGTCAGACTCACCTTCAAGGGGGTCTCTTGGATGTCTCTGGCACCATTCAACGGGGATAGACTTGCAGTCACATACACCCTGTTAAGACAAGCTTCATCACAATCTGGACGCCTACGAACTTCGTGCACTCCAGGCTGCACACAGAGAAATCCGCTTTGGTGCCATGAGAGGTGACGAGGCGATCGTGAACTCGCCTAAGCTTGGAGTTCCTAACTCAGCATTCACTGAGCTTTGGAAAAGGCCTCTTTGACCCCAAGCCGAAGCACGGGCACGCTGCCGAGGGCAGTTCAAGAGGAAGGCGACCGGATCCAGGCCTCCTGCAGACGCGTAAGCGTACCTTTATTTTCCTATTATACCTTCCAGCACTGTGCAAGCCATGATGACCGACAGCCTAAGCGCAAGTTCGCTGTGGCGAACCCTGCGAAACGCTCCTGTTACGCCCAGGAGCGCCCAGAACCTTGCTCTTCCAAGGTCGGCTCTAAAAAGCTGCTGCAACTACGTGGGCCTGGGGCCGCAGTCCAGGTCGCAACCATGCTCAGTGACTCCAATGCAGCCCGGAGAACTCATGCATGCGGCAGCAAGCCGCGTCTGACTGTAGCGCCTTCAGCGCATCAGCATCTAACAGCAGCTTGCCTGCAAAGCAAAGCCAATTGATCGTACTTCCGACCCGTATAATTACTCTGAATAAGCATTCACTTCCAATCACTCGGTCGAACTGCTACGCCTGCCGTGGCTCCAACGGCCAAGACATCCCACACCGAAACGCTTATCAATGGCGACACCACAAGCCTCAAACGAGCGATGCTTCCTAAAGAACCGAGTTTCGGGAAGTTTTGCTCGATCATCGGTACGACCTACTCGCGGACGCCTTGTTTTTATCGCAAAAGGCTTGCATCGAGGCGCTGCCCCGCTGTCACTATGGATTCATTGGGGACTGCAAACAGGCATCATAAAAATCCGGGCCCTAACTCCGCAATCTTGACTGCGAAAGTATCATGCAATGATGTGTCTGCTTACTTTCTGTTGCCAAGCAATGTGCAGTGAACGTGGCTGTTTTCCCAAATTCCTCAATACTGCGGCCCCTAAGCGCCATGAAAAGTTCACTATCTATCTGTATTGGCAAATGCTACCTGCAAGCTGCGACCTGCACACGGACATGTTAGGAAGCTGCACGATGCAGCACGTTGAAAGACTGCAAACCCACAGTCTCCCAACACTTGCACAGGAGAAACTGCTTTCAAATCGTGTTACACATTACAACCAACATTGCCCGCGGTGCCCAGTTCACATTACCGGAGCCTACGAATTCCTTCGCAGGCGCATCCAGCTTTTCTTGGAGGGCGGAGAGCCTCAGTTCTGTGTGGCACCATAGGCGTTCCGCAGTTCAGACATACAAGGCCTGAATTCTTCGCAAAAAGGCGGATAACAAACACACAAACCATGCAAACAAACGATGCGTGGAACGATACATGGAAGAGTGAACATCTAGAAGGTCAGCTGCACAGAAAGATACGCCATGATATCCTGCATCACCCACACTAGCCTTCAAGCAACTTGTCATTTGCGCAGATACATATACATATTCATGCACATATTCTTACATAGTCAAAAATACGTACATAGCAGTGGGTCCATTGGGAGGGGAAGTGGTAAATCCTGGAGGGGAGTGGGGGTGGTCGCATATATGTATACTTATAGTTTTACGCGCATATACATGTATATATATATATATGTACGTATTTGTTCCTACACACACATACATATACACATAAAAGGCAAACAGAACTTTGCCCTTGTCCTGCTTTTGTCGAGCCCTGCACCCACATCTTTTTGATACCTGTCATGCTTTTGACCACAACTATTTATGCTGTAGTGCATTTTGTATGCATGTAGCACTTATGCATGTATGTCTACATACAGTACATACGACAACAATACGATTGGTCGATAGAAAGACAGATCGACGAATAGATAGAGAGGCAGGTAGCCAGATTAGGCTAGATTAGATTAGATTTGCTACGCTTATAAGGTAACGGTTAGGTCAGGCTAGGTCGAAATTTCGGTTGTAGTCGGGTATATTGGAGCGATTAGAGTAAATTCGGGCTGACTAGGTTGAACTAGACTGTCTGCGATTAAGGTAAGTCAGATTGGATAAATAGATCGATAGATCGATAGATGGATGGTTAAACGGATAAATGGATAGATGGATAGATCGAGAGAGCGAAAAATAGACAGACCGATTCGACACATGGGTGTAGGTGGTTGGATCGATGAATGGCTAGGCCAACAGATCGATAGGTAGGTAGATAAACGAAACGATAGACAAATAGATAGATAGACAAATAGCTAAATAAACAAATAGGTTTGGACAGATAGTCAAATGGCTAGGTAGCTGATGGTAAGGAAAATATATAATGCTGATAGAAGGCAACATAGGTAGCTGAACAGCTGGATAGTTCACAGCCAGATAGCCAAATAGCGAAATAGCTAGATAGCTAAATACTTGTTCTATTCGTGTAATGTGAACCAAACAGGCAGATATGTAGCTAAGATTGAGAAACTGCAGAAGTCAGTTGGCATAACTACATGTAAGAACAAACCTATCGGCCATACATACCTAGACAAACAGCCTTCACGTGCCGGACTGTTTTGCTGGCTTGGCGTTTCAAACACCTATACGATTCCCTTGCACATTCAAGGTCGATGAGTACAGTAATTTATGGTAGCAGCTGAGGCTGCCTGGGCAGCCCCAAGAAAGATTGAAGCATTCGCATGTCCTGCGGACTCCGCTGCCTCCTGGTTCACTGCTGCACTAATTACTTGCTTTCGCCGCCCATAACCACACGCTACATTGCCGCTACATGGCGCCTGACGAGGGTCTGTCCTAGTAGACCCAACACAACCGCAGCTAACACCGAAACCGAGCGGCAGCTTCTTTGTGGGCGCACGGGCCAGGTCGCAATAAAGGTACAGCGCATCACGCAGAGTGCAAGGGGATGGGAAAGGCTTCTTGATCTTGAAACCTGGGACCGAGGCTAGCGTAGGCCATCCTACCTCACCGGGAAAGGAGCGTGTCATGCCTCTGTTCGGCGCCCACATGGAAAAGAGACCCTCGTTGAGGTTTCGGGCGAAGCAGCGGGTGCTCAAAATGGTTTTCCAGAACTGCCTGGCCTTTTGAGCCGACACCTGCACCCGTGAGCCCGGACATCTGACCACACAACAACGGCTGCTGAGTTGCCAGTGCCCTCCGCAGCTTTGAAAGTGACCTTCTTGTTCAGGTCCGACTCCGAGTAACCGAGAAGCTTTAGCACAGCTGAGACGTCCGACCTTGGGTTTCCGGGGGAGGTTTCGGCTTCGGGCTTCTCTGAAAGCTCCAATGCAAAATCATCGAAGATCCTCCCGCCGCGCGCTCGTCTCTGCCGAGTACCGCTCAAGGCTCATTGACAGAGGTGGGGGGTGGCAGTGGCACCACGGAGGAGGAGGGCAGTGGCAGTGGTACTGCACTACTCGTACAACAAGCAACCGTCTCGTCTACTAGAGCAGCAGCGGCAGCAGCATCTGCAGCACAGCCACCACCACAACCACCCAAGCACCACAACCACAACTACCACAAGAACTATCACCACCACCACCACCACAACACCACCACCACCACCACCACCACCACCAACAACAACAACAACAACAACAACTCCAGCAACATCTACAACAACTGCAACCACTACAACCATCCCAACCGCTGCACGGATCCCAACAACCACAATGAAAAGTCTCACTAAGACCACGAGCACCACAGTCAGGACCATCATCATCATCAACATCATCGCCATCAGGGACCGGGAAGGCAGGCTGGGAACAGTGCGGGCGCACAGTCACTCCAAAATGTGCAGCCTGCCCGCTCCGCATTGCGAGGGAGCATGGCCAAAGTCCCCCCCGCTGTGTATTTCTGGAGTGCGCCGGAAGCCTCGCGGGCAGCTCGAAGCGCTCGCAGCATGTCCGGGTAAGTTGACTACTTCCGTCCTTCAGAGAGTGGGGAGCCAGGTCCGAACGGGAATCACCAACTGTAACATGAGAGTGGAGCGGAGAAACAGCGGTATCGGAAAAAAACTCTGCCTAAAAATTTGCAGGTGTTTCTGGCCTAAACGAAATCTGTTGCACGCATGGCCTCGAGCTCGACCTCCATGGTTGAGAGGCCCTCTTCCAGGCTTCGGTGCTGCCGCAACTCTCGAACCTGTCATAATTTCTTCCATGCACTTCGGAAGGCGCACCTCCTGGTCCACTTCCTGCTGTCAGGTCGCCGACTCACTTATTGTTAAGAGCTAGGAAGCTCCAACCGTCTCGGATCCAAACCACTCCCGGGGATGGCCCCGGCCAATTGGTATAAACAAACCCACATGCCCTGACTTTGGTACCTTGGCAACCGTGCACTTCTCGGCTTCGAAATAGAACCGGGCAGCCACTTCCGACGGTTCCTCATCAGGGAAACTCTTCTTGTTTGCTTCTCTACGCTGTCAACCCTGTAATTCTATAATCTTCCGTGACTGAAACCCATGCGGACCGAACTCCTAAGCCCTGCATCCCGAGCCAGTCGCGACATATCCCAAAACAGAGGAGAAAGACTCCAAGTGGCCGAATCTGGTTCGGCAGGAAGCTCTGCACTTGCGCGGACAATGGACAGCACCGCCGAACCCAGGGGCTGACACGGAGAGTGGATCCGATGCTCGCTTGCCACGCGGCTGGCTGGGATTTATTAGCAGTTCAAAGCGCACTCCACCAACGCAGAACATGAGCAGCACCCTCGCGCCTGTACAGGCCCAAACGATGCGATGCATCCGGCTGAATTCATCTCCCCCAAAACTTGATTAGAATATCTTGTCTCTGGCTTGTTACTTACATTGTGGCCTTTTCCAGTGCTGCAGAATTCGGCCGCGACTCGCCCAAGGAGACGCAACGACCTGCCACATGCTTTCAAACTATCTGAGCGTGATGGAACCAGTGCATCTAGCTTACAGGAAAACTGTCCGGCCTTCTTTCTTCACCTCTGCGACTGCTTTCTTCATGTTCTCCCAGAGGCCACCCTCCCTCCATTTCTCAAAATCGGAAACGATGTCTTGGCCTTGCAAGCACAGCAACAAAGCCCGAGGGTAAGGTTGGAGCACCAATTGTCATACCAAGTGGCTGTCATCTCCCACGCCTCTCTTGTAGATGCGGGTTCCTCCCATGCGCTCCTGGCAGGGACATGTATGAAGGGCAGGGTGTGTAGCCCATGCTACCCTGCTGCCGAGACCATAACATCTTAATGCAAGTAAGTATCCAAATGCGTATCCGTCAGCTGGCCCATGTTGTTAAAACGAGAATAGTTCATATCGCCCAGGCCCATAACCTTCGTGGCACAACACAAATGATGCAAGGAAATTCCGATTTGAATACTGCAAAAAATCTCAATATTTGCGGCGCAGGTACCGTGAAGCGCTGGCCTTTCAGCGCCCCATCGTTTTTAGGATTAGAGACCCATCGGTGGAAAGCCACGGCGTTGTCCTGGACAATGACAAGCGGTTACGCAAGCTTAATCAACAACCAATTTGAAATTGCTCCATGCTCGCAGCATCCGTTGTTCCGACATTATCCAACACCGGCACTCCGTAGGCTCGCCATCACCATAGGTGGCAACCACCAAGATCACGATGTTGTTCGCGGCAAACCCCTTGCGGGATGTGGCGCGTGTTTGCACTTGGCCACATTATTCCCAAGACTTCCGAAGCGGGGTTCATTGGCTTCAAAAGGAGAAGGTATACTTCTGAAAAGTTGCACATTCTGTTCATGCGCTTCTGCAGGCGACAGCATGGCAATGGTGTGCCGTACGTTTGCAAAACCAGACCGCCTCTGGAGTAAAGGTTTGCAGATCCCGAACCTGGCACGCGACACGCAACGCGTGAAACTTAGCCGCACAGCTTGAGCGGACTTGCGGTCCTCGGCTTTGATTCCGTACTTTTCAGCCTCGTGCGATGGATGTCCACATGCAGAAACGTACGTGGATATGGCTAACGTCTGGCTGCAGGAAAACACCCAGATAAACAAGATGACGACGTGGCGAAGCCCGCCTCTTCTTGCAACTCCTCACTGAAACTTTCAGCAGTGCCTGATTGCGATCCTCAGACAAACCGCACTTACGTCGTGGATACATGCCAATGTTGCCACAAGCTCGGCTCGGGCTGTGACCAAAATAAATGTGCACGTCCGCCATGGCAACCCGGCCACCCTCGTCCCAGGAACTACTCTCAAGAAACTTTGAAGCACGCCACAACATGTAAGACATGCAGGACCGCGACTTGTGTAATGAAGTGGCTGCTTGCAACACTAGGGCGTGCACCTTACTCTCCCCACGCTCGGCTGACGTCCGCACGCCGCAATTTGATAAACATCGTTTCCCTGATGCTTGTTCGGACTGGGGGACCCCTTCTTCTACAACCTACTTTTACTTATTTCCATGGGCCTGTTTGCACCGTCACTCGCAGGGTCGGCGTGTTGAGGCTAGAGGCACTTCCGCCCCATAGCATGTGCAAGGCGGTGGCAGAGCGCCAGCTGCATGGCTTGGGACGCGAGCGTCATGGCTAACTCTATTGGTATGACGGTTAGCCACGACCCAGCGTGAGGCCCCGATGGGTTTCGCACCAGCGCCCGGGCATTCGGCGGCATAGCCGGCAGCATCATTCTGTCTCGGAAATATTGGTTGCGAGTGCGTGCCGCATGAAATTGCCAACCATGCGGCCAGTCTCCGGGGCCGGTGTGTTCCGG